TTACACTATTTTGATTCCTCTAAATACACAAAATCAGTTACACGTTATTTACAAGACCGACTTAATTATTATCAATTGTCATTGTTCTTAGAGTCCACGCGTGGTATAGGATGTCTATGAAAAATCCAATAATCTCTTGGGTATTGTCAATTCTCACCCTCCTCTGAACATCTGTCCTGTTTTTGCCTAAACCAGCTGATAATGTCGTTGGCAACATCGTTGCGTTCCAGCTCCTGGAGGACGTCTACGAACTCTTTTAGAGTCGTACATTTGAAACTGCACAACTTTTCAATCAAAAGCCTTATTGCGCTGACTCCTGGCTTCCTGCTTTCTGTCTCCAACAGCTGAATGTCTTGTTTGGAAATTTCAAACCTGTGAGCGACATGTTTCCAGTTCTTTTGAACTGGCGAGGAATCAGAATCTAGTTGCAGAATAAAATCTTCGACATCATATGGAAAGTCGGCGAGCTTGAAGTCTAATATAACCAAAGGGTAATCAAATTGACGAAGTTAAAAGGAAAAAAAAAGGAACCATAATTATCATCATTATCATTACCACAATAATGCTCATTTGAGGACACCCCTGGTGGAAGTTGCCTGGTAACGCCTTGAGGACGAGTGAGTACTGCAGGCGGGAACTGGGAGTGATGAAGGCTTCTTAAGTTGCTAGTAACATTGATCTTACGCTGAAAGGACGGGGATTCATTGTCACTCATTTACATACCGGCAATTTAGCTTTTCCAGTTGCAGGGGATATTGCATAAATGGAAAGGTATGATAATAGGGGAGAGAGTGCATGTGGCCTCGTGGCACCTAAACTATCCTTTTTATCTTCGTTTAACGATTCACTTCAAAATCATGACCCTTGTCCCAGTTCTGACATTTTTAACGAGGCCTGACTATTAACATTTCTATCATTAATACTAATCACACAATAAAAGTAATATTCCTGGTGACAAATGCGTAACCCTTTTGAAGCGGTGAAGAGTTCTCAAAAAGTTTGGAAAGTTGTGGTAATACATGACGAACACGTACAAGTTCGAAAGAGGAAAATAGTAGTAATCCTCAATGCAGTGAAGACAATGTACATAAAATTTAAGGTTTGCCAACTAGCTCAGTAGCTATAACGTAATTTGGGGATTAGAACTCCGATCAGGTCTATCCGACCTTTTCCCGTTAAACGAATAGAAAATTATCAGCATCATAATCTTACCCAGCAAAGAACAGCTTGGTGAATTCTCAGTGACTCGTAAGGGGTTTAGTGGTATTCTAGCAGGATCTGCAAAAACAAGTTCAAAATCATTTTGTAAACGATCTGCATTCCTCGTGAGTGCGGGAAACGGTCAAAAAGTGAGCAAGCCACGGACGATGAAGTCTCTTTTTGCTTATTCTATTTGGCTTGCCAAGAGTCGACCACATAAAAAAGATTCAGTCCTCATGTGCTTAAACTTTCCATTTCAAAGAATACAGGCTGGGTTGGTTATTGAGGACTCGGGCTTTCATCATGATATCTGTCGTATTGAGGAGGAAAATGTTCCGAAAATATTGCGAATTAACTAGTAATGGATTCCCAAGGGGGGCTACTAGGCCAAGGCTCCTCGTCGCTTAGGATATGTGTAACCCTTGACTAATTCTCATATTCTCATTAATTTTAGTTTAATCCCACCTTCATGTTCTGGCCTTGTCTTCTTAGACATTCTGAATTTCATCCAGCAAAGTACTGCAGGCGGTGTAAAAATGACGATCAAAACTATCGCTCCTCTTATTCCCAATATAATCAACAGTGTCAAAGCTTTGCTTTTCCGTCCCTGAGTCTCTTTTTTTTCCGAGAAACTTGCAGAGGCGTCGTTTCCTTCTAGTATTGGAAGTTCTACACCTTCAGGAATCGAAGTTGATACAATTCCACGATACAACGACGATGGTTGTGGCATGATGCCCTGTGTGAATTCTACGCTTGGAGAGGAACGGTTTCCTAGTAACAGTGGAACTTCAGCAGACCCTGGAATTTCTGCAGACGAAAAGCTTATCAGCGATGAACGCTGTGGCTTTATGCTTGGAGCCGACGCTATACTTGTCGAGGTAGCACTTTTTATTGAAAATAAAACTTTCATAGACGCTGTAATTGCTGTAGACGAGCCACCGCCAATAGGAGATGAAAGTTGTGGCCAGATACTAGGAGTAGGCTCTATTGACAAAGTCGTGGTTGAGATTGTTGCTGGGGTAGTTTCTCTGCAATCAGTGATGTGGCCATCAAAGAAATACCCTTTGGGACAT